ACCTTGTCCGAGAAAATCTCTGACATATGAGCAGACACTTATTTGACACTTCATATAGCCAGGCAGGGGATACTCAAGAAATTGCGAAATTTACCATCAGCATTCACTTTCACTTACATCAATTTCTTGCAGAATGTCTTTGACTTTGCTTCCTCCATCTTTCATCTTCATTACTTTTATCCTGTCTTCAAGTGTTATAAGATTTTCTTTTGTTAACTCCTTATGAAGAGCCTTGGTCCGCAAAGGTCTGTTTTGTAGCCATTTTATACCAAGCAATGCAACGTTCGTGCCGTGTCTGAAACTACTCGTGAAATTTCTAACCTTGTCCTAACAATAACAAATACTTCCTGCACTTCTGCGCATGTGTAAACCAGTGTGGTGGTTGCTGTTGCCGTTTCCTAGCTAAGCAGTAGGAGTCGCTGTGGCAGGCTGAGGTTGGATCAGACTTTTACGGCAGGCTTGTTTTCGTTGTAGTGAACCTCGTTGCGAGGCAAGGGCAGAGAAAACGATTTCGTATTACGCAAAAGGGGGATTTTTCGTTGTAGGGGAAGCAGAAAAGTGGGAATGGTTTTAATGCATGAAGATTTTTTCACACTCGGGGGTATTTTCGCACATGTAGGTTTCGTTGTAGAGGAGTTTCACTGTATCCGCATATTCACTGAGAAGTCCAAACGGATTGGCGCACAGCCCTCCATTCACACTGACATTCAACAGCAGAGCAAAAGCATCGACAAAATGCTGCCGATGCTGCCAAAGAGGGCTTGCGGTAGCATGACTGTACAACACTGATCCGTTTGATTACGGCCCACAAAGGGGAACATTATTCCCGAGCTTGTGGCATCGCAATGTGAAAACATTTCTTGGGAAAAGTGAATCACATTGGCAACAGTCGGCACGTTGACCCCCGTTAAACTCACCCTCTTGACGTAGTTCTGAATCACCTCCGGGTCAGCCGCCTGATGACCGGCGGCGCACACGTCTGTTTCCAGACGATGCCTCCACCATTTGTTTTCCTGGCTTTTCTCCCAACTGCAAATTGGCAAATAAAAAGCTTTCATAAACAAACATCACTCAAAACATGAGGAAAGTCACTTCAATTCTGTTCTCATGAAGCAGAAAATGTGGTCATGCTGTTTTAACATTAGCCTCAACGGCCTCCTCTGGGATAGTTTCCCTTTTCATTATCACCCAGCGGCGCCATTACCCACTTCCATTACACTTTGAGCGTGTCACCCCCCCCCTTTATTTGGACGCCCCCCCCCCCCCCCCCCCCCGCCCTGCTTCATAGGCTGTGGCAGACATTTTGCTCGTGTTCGTGGGTGCTCACTCAACTGGAATGATCGCAGCAGAACCATCATGTCCGTTTTGGTAGCAAGTGGTTGATTTTTCCATTCGCCCGCAATCACAATAGATTTATTAGATGGGGGGGATTCAGCTTCCAGTGCAAGATGGGATCATAAAAGAAAATAAAAAAAAAAAGGAGTATTGAAATATGCCTCTTCATATTTGGAATGAGGTCAGGGAGAAGGCCGTGGTAATATCATGTGCTGCCAGGCGCAGGTGACATTCCCAGCTAGATTTGAAACAGTTGATCTGTCTCGTTTTTCCTCACTCTCCCTTCATATTTTTTTTTTTTTTGTATGAAAGGGGCCAGCGGTGATACGGAGATAAAAGGCCCTAGTAAGAAAAAAAAAATAAAAAAATAAAAATAGATGGAGGGGGACAAAAGAAAAAGCGCCGGGTGATCATCAATAAAGAAGGGGATGAAAGCGAGAAGAGATGGTTTTGCGCTTTCAGTGCCCCTCTGGTGAGGTCTGATGATGCAATCAACCATCTCAACAGGGACAGGTGCCAGGCAGTCGCCGGACGGGCGAGGCGAGCCGCGTCAGAAGCCCAACACCTGCTTGCCTATTCCAGTGTAATGAGGCGTGCATTTTAAAACACTCTCCCTCTTGAATTCATTTCCTGAAAAAAAACTGTGGACGAAACAATACAATGAATTACTTTTGCTTTAACAAGAGGAAACAACAAGTAAACTCTGACAAATGACGTCTGGCGCTCATCTAGCTTGGACACCAAGTGAGAGGCCGAAAAATTTAATGATCTTCTGCTCGATGGCATACAATTTTAGAACCACTTGTCTGCATGACACATTTGTTTATTCAGGCCAGTGAGTGAAAGGAGTGTAACCTATTGAAAATAAATGGCACTCAAACTTGGTTACATGGTACCGTGTATCAATTATAGTTAAAAGTGAAAGAATTAGGGCAAGCGAGCCGCAGTCAAACATTTTCTCCCGTTTGACTCATCTGCTGTAATTTGACATGAACAGATGAAGGTAAGCTGCAGACACTTGTGCCAGCGATAAAGCTTCTCCTTGTCACATCAATGAAGTCATAAAAGCAGCAAAGTCGTTTGTCAATTTGTTTGCGGCGGCAACAATGGGCGCAGTCGACATTGCCTCGTAATCACCCGCATTCGGGTTCGATTACATTAAATATGAAAAATAATATGGCACGAATGACAACATTTAGTGGTGTCAGTTGAGTGTGTTGGACATTTTTGCATTGGCGGGCTTTGTGCCCCGTTGCTGGAAAACATCACATTTCTCCAATTTTCTGCTAATTTGTCATGTCTTGCCTTTTTATACCCCCTCCCAAAAAAAAGTATTTCTCTTTAAAGAGTGTATGTATACCTTGGGGTTTCTCGCACCAGCACGGCCCGGTGGAGCTGCCGTTGGATGTGGGCGTGATGAGGGCCGCAAGGGTGTACAAACGGGTGGACAGAAACCAGGACGAAACCTTGCGTGTAGAGCTCTCTGACCTGCACGGGAAGTTCTCGGACTGAAGACAGGCAGAGCACAGATGACACTGGTACCTCTGGAAGAGATGACAGACAAACGGAAATGTTGCATCAAAGTAGGGGACGAGCGAGAGCATGTTTGATGATGATCAGTCCCACTGCGAGACAACACATGGCATCGTCACGCTAAATCGAAAACTAATTACACGAGAAATCCCATCTTCACTGCGGCCTTACCAGATGCTCAAGTGTGCAAACGCTTCAATGGAGAAATGCAAACTGTTTTGTTTTTTTTTTCCAATTGCAACACCGCAGTTAGGGTTAACCTCATGGGACATGACGTGAAAGCACCACATTTATTTTTAGTGAAGTTCAAAATCAATAGTTTGTCTTTTGAGGAAATTACGGAAAAGTGATTTATGAATTATTAAATACATAATGGCTTTTCCTATTTTGATTTCACCTGAATTCCCTGCGAGAGGCTGCTGAAATGCTGCTGGAAGTTGCGTCCATGCTAATTGTTTTTCTTTTTTCTTTTTTTTTTAAACCAGAGGACTAGCCATGATATTTGCACTGCACATTGATCATATAAGGGCTGAAAGACAATGCCATCACATTGCAAGTTTTTAGCATGTGACATTAGCAAGGCTTGCTTGCAAAGAAAGCCACTTCTCTTATTACCACAGACAATGAAGAGAAGCCCCACACTTCTCACTTCAGTAGAAATGGTTAGCGGAGCTTATCGTACGGGAGCAAAACTGTCAGCGCAAATCCATGAGGGGCATGTTTATGAAAGGTGCCCTCTCGGGGTCGCTGCTTTGTCATCAGGCTCACTTGTGTTCAATGCGCTTTTTTTTTGGGGGGGGGGGGTGAACGCCAGTGGCAGGTTGCCGAGTGACGCCAGGTGTGCGCTGGAGAGAATAGAAGACACGACGAAGGGGGGGAGGCATGTTTGTGCCTGAACGCTTGTCAAGCCTCCCGTTCAGTCTCATTTGCATTGGTCTGGAGAAGAGAAAATAACCTGAATAAATTAAAAAGGCACAGAGAAGGAAGAAGAAAAAAGATGTGAGCCATCTCATTTTCAATTTGTTCTCCATCATCTGGTGTGCTCACACATCGCCAGATGCACACAAGCGTGCACGCATATGTGACTGGCCAGTACAGACACACGCACAGTCAAATAGTCTTCACATCCTCACATTTTTTTTCCTTGAGTGGGGCCGCCACATGTCCACACAACAAAGGTGGAAAGTCAAGGGTTATGTCACACAAACATCAAAAGACAAGAACACACTCAGCCACGCACAAATTGCTCCTCCAACAGGAAGAGAGGTGGTGGTGGTGGTGGGGGGTACATCTTGGCACAAATATTTGGAAGCGGGAGAGGCTTTCATCCACCAAACACATAAACGGGTGCCTGTGTGCATGTCTCCAGAACAGCATGGTAATGATTATATTAGCAGCTGGAGAGCATGTTGGTTGGCGCTGGCGATAACAAAGACCCAGTCATTAGTCGCCATTAGCGCTGTGTGGCGAGGCCTCGCTCACCCGCCGCCGTGATGAAACTTCTCAGGCACACACAAGTTATCAGTGTGCAGCGATTAACACTTGGGAATGCCATTTATGCCATCTGCCATTGAAGGAAATCAACACGCGGGGGAGAAAAAAAAGGCTACAATTGCCCCTCCAGAACAGGAACGTGAATGGGACCCATTGCTTTTTTTTGGACAACCAACAATAAGTGGGCAACTAATTAGATGTGGGACAGTGGCAAGGTGTGACTAGGAAAGTAAGCGCTCACTGTGTTGGAATGCTTGCTGGTTTTAAAATGCATTTTTTTCAAACTGCGCCTACCAAATGGAAGGACCTGGAAAACGTGACACAAGACAAAATGTTAAGATGAACACACTGACGCTTTCCGCACGGTAGGTATACAACTGTAAACGACAGCGTGTATGACTTTTGAAATCATTTTATATGAATTCATATTGTGAATGACTATAGAATCTGTATTGTGGCATCACACCAAGTCAATGTGTGTTCCGAAGAGAGAGGAAGCATTAAGCCTGCCAGGTGACGAATGAGGATTAGGGCTCGCAGGCGCCCTCAAGGCTTATCCTCGCTTTGCTGGAGATTCACTTTTTTATTCAGATTGCCCTCTAATGACTTGCAGAGGTTTCAGGCAGGGATCTGCGCCAAAACGGTGGCTATAAAACAATCAACTTCCTGGAGCCAGGAGCTCCCTACAGCTCTGGGAATGCACCCACAGGCTTCAAAGTTTGGTGGTCAGCATCTGTGGAGAGGGCTCCACTTAAAATGAAAAAAACATTAGCCTGGAGCTTAAGCCCGCCGTATGTGTTTTATAATAATTACGCAGCTATATTGATATTTCATATGCATTAGTCGCAAAAAAAAAAAAAAAAAAGCGCAAAGAGCCTCTGTCACTGGAGCTCTAGTCGGTGAATGGAGCCAACAGCCTTTGAATTATCCACAACAAATACTGTTGTTACTCACCCACTCCCTCTCTTTGTACGATCGTAATATAGTTAGTGTGACCAACGTAATCTGCTTCTTTCTTGACAATCGCACCATGTTGTGCACGGTTCAATTTAAAAAAAAAAAAAACCCACAAAAAACAGCAGTCTTGTATATTGGGTGACTCAGAATGCGGTTTCCTAATTAAAACACAAGGGACCAGTATTTCCCCTTGCAGCGATTTGAACTGTGCACAAAATAAGGTGCCGAGTTGCTGTATTTAATTTTTTTTTTTTACATAACTGTTCCAATCCAATTGCATCGCCCTTCAGGGGTATATGGGTGATCCACGTGTTGGTTTCTCTGTTGGGTTTTTTTTTTTTTTTTTTTTTTTTTAAATGCACAGCAACTCACGGCCGTCTTTGCCGCCGATCTCTCGGGCGACATGAAGGATGTCCCCTGAAAAGGAACCGCCGTCACACGACCACTTTAAATCATCTCGCGTCGCAAGCGCTCTCACGCGCTCCCTTGAATAAGTGCGGTCGGGTCGGGGAACATCTCGCCATGTGATGGATTTGTCTTTCACGGAGTGTCTCGGCCAAATACATCACACACGCGCGCTCTGATAGCACAGATGTATGATGGAGGAATATGTGACATTTCATCCGCGGAATGCATATTTACTCAATCAAATTCATATATATATATATATACACATACACACACACACCCACACACACACACACACACACACACACACACACACACATATATATATATATATATATATATATATATATATAAAAAACTAATATTTAAAGCTGTCATGCACACACACGCACACACCTCTGCCATCTTAGCTGAGAATTATCCACACTTTGTAGTTTTAATGAGCCGAGCGGCCTCAGTCTCTGCAGGGCAGCACAAAGTCATCATCAGCTTCAGTCCCGCGGCATTGCACCATACCGAGTCCCTCACACATCCTCCACTCTCACACCTCTTAAACAGATTTTTTTTTTTTTTCCCCTTCCACCATCTTGACCAGACCTAACTAACGCCTGTGTCTCTTCTCCACTAAGGGGCTCGTTGGTTGCGCAGCCTCTCGTTACTGCGTCGCATTCTTTGCCTCTGCCTTACCCCGGTCACTGTCTGTACTCCGGACCTTCATACAGTCAAGATGACATTTCAAGGCGAGATGATGTCATAGGGTGCAGCTGTTGGATGATAAAAGCGTAACAAGGCATTAGATTTGTGCTTTATGGCAAGGCGGAGGGCAACACGTGAGATGTCTGACCCAGGGGCCAAATATGTGAATGCCGAGTGGTCACATTAAGTCACCATGACCGAGTCAGACTCAAGACTGACTTAGTCACACTGAAGGAATAGAATAGTTATAAAAATGAGAATCTGACCCCCATTTTTAGGGGGAGGAAAAAAAACCCCTCAAGTGGCACAAAACATCCGTCTTGGTGCCTTTTCTTGCTGACTCAAAAAGATGGACCGAAGCTTGGCATGTTGTCATGCGACACCTCAGCATTCTCTAAAAAAAAAGCATTCAAAGCATGAACTCATCTTCCTCTTTTTTTTTTTTTTTTTAACTTTTTGACACACATTCTTCAAGGAGTACCAGCCTCAACAAAGGGTGTTTAAAAGAAGACAGAGAAAAGAGAAGACTCCATCAGAATTGCATGAAGTAAGTGGACTCTTGCCACCATAGCCGTCGGGGTTGTCAGAAGCTACCAAAGGGATGACATCAGGGTTGTGCTGGCCTGTAATTTTTATCTGAACAGTATAATTTAAAAAAAGATGAGTTTTTATTATTTTCCTCCATTTTTAAAGTAGCCCTGAGATACAAAGATAAGGACAAATGGAACAAAAATAGCTGAGTCTCATATCACACAATTTAACCTTTGGGGGGGGTTCCTCGTACCGAGAGTGACAGGAAAGAGTTGGCTTCAGGCGGTAGGCAGTCTATGCATCAGCAGCAGGCCACAATGCTCTCTCTGTGGTGGGCGGGGGATACTCAAAAAGCATCACTCCTCAGACTATCTGCTCAGAGTGAGAAGGTCCGCAGCTTGTTTTGAAAAAGAGGCACAGTGTGATATGTGGAAATATTTTTCTGACATAAAATTAACTGAATAGGCTTGTCTCGATATCTTTGTCGATTTTGCTTCATTTCCAACTTCAACAAAAAAAAAAAACCAAAAGCAGACAGTCTGTATGCTCTCTGAGAACGCCACTTTAGTTTATCATTTCCAACTTCAAGAACAACAAAAAAAACACAAACAAAAGCAGTCTGTATGCTCTCTGAGAACGCCACTTCAATAAACAGTCACAGATCTCAGAGGGTGACGCGAGTGCGATATTTGTTTTTCATTACTGTGTAAGAATCATCAAGTCACACTGGCAGGCAAATATTATTAATGGCAACAAAATTGAATTAGAGTGTGGGCTTGACCGCAGTTTTTTTTTTCCTCCCAATGTCACGGACAGACACGAGGATGCCTATATCGACCCCTTGCATACACGCAGACGCGCACACACACAGGCGAGCACACACAAATACAAATAAATCCCTTTCCTGGGAATGAGGTCTCTCAATCTGCACACAAAATCAAATAATCCTCCAGGAATCCTTCACTCCTCTTGCTCTCTGTATCGCAAATGGGAGGGAGAGGGTGGAAAGCACACAGACATGCGTGCAAACACTCTCACACACAGACACACACACACAAAACACACAATCAATTCATAATAGCCATGCGAGGAGAGCCATCTTAAGGCTGCTCAGATGGCATCAGGGAGTTTACCATATAAATGACCTACCCGTCTGCTTGAAGATAACAGTAACTCTGTTCTCAAAGAGACAAAAATTGTTTCATGTTGCATAGGGATGAAACGGTTTCAACGAGAGCGTTTTAGGCCGGGGGTTGACACATCAAATCTTTTGACTCATCTCCATGATCACCATTCACAAGGCAAGTTTTGTTCTGTTGTCCAAGGCCATCAAAATGTACATTTTTTCCCCCCGTTAGAGAATCTATTTATTCCCAAAAGTCTATTCTCTCTATTTTGTAGCGTTTCATCTTGGCTGCAATGCTACTGTACGCATATGTGGTTGTTGGCTCCTTTGTCCAATCAGATTTCATCCTCTGTGTGTTACCGTGTCAATCTAATCTGACCTGAGCCTTAAGTATCAGTAGTGGTGCTGCCTAAGGTAACTTAAATTACAAAGTAAATGGGGGGTTTCAAGCTAACGGATTTCAAATTCACCTCGCAGACAATGGCGTCACCATTTTGCTATCCCCTGATTGGTTGGCCAGAACAAAACTTGAATTTGACTAAAATGATTTTAGGCTGCCAGATGCCAAACCCAACAGGGTTTGTTGCTGTATAAACACTAGTTTGTCCCCAAGTGGTAGCGACATTGTGTCTTGTTGTCATGTCTGTTAGAGCGTTGCATTGGAGAGTCACCCGCAGAGGAATTTCAGTGAGCTTCTTGCACCTGTTTCGGCTTGTCGCTTCATATTGTACGAGGCGCGCTCGCGTGTAGAAATCCATGAGGGGAGAGCAGCCGTTTTGTTGCATCTGCTTCCCCTCACTTTGCTCGCTTTTCTTGCGCGCCAACAGTCCACACAAGCAACACAATGGAAGGATTTATATATTTAGAAACCGCACGCCTCTGGAGGATTCTCGTCAAACTTTTGTCAAGATGCTGCGAGCGCTCACCCACACATTAGTGGACCACTTTTCAATATTCACTGCATGATGCTGGGAAAAAAAATATTGCAAAAAAAAAAAAAAAAAAACATCAGCATCATTGTGTGAGGCAGAGGGCACGTCGACAAAGTACACAGCGCACTGAACTTTCAACACACATCTATACAGATTTTATAAGCATTATTTTTTGTTTTTTGCCTTTAGGACTCTCACAGTATGAAGACAACTGTTCAGCAGAGTTGCTGACCTAAAGATTTCATTTTTTTCTGGTTAAAGTTGGAAAAGCAACTTTGGAAGTCGAAACATGGCACAAATCACAATGGTGGGGGTGAAAAAAAACAAAACAAAACAGCCAACCTGGGAGTTCTTTGGTGGCGGGGGCGTATGAAGGAAAAAAAAAGAAATCTTGAAAATGCTTTGGCTCAGGCTTAAATTGTTAGCATATGGAATGCATTTATCCGAGTTCAAGTGCAACTGAGACAAAATCAAAATGAGGATACCTCATCTAATTGTTTCTTCAATGCTGCCATAATACATTTCATGATTGACTATGCCACCTTTTGGAAACAGAGCTACATCTTGGGTACTTAATACGAAGGGCTACCACATTGGACTTAAATTGATATACATGCTAAAATAACTTCATTATGAGGCCTTTTTCATGAATTCTTTTCATCTGTGTAAACACAGCGTTGGTTTCATACAGACTTGAGTCACGCGGACAAGAAAAATAACTTGAAAATCGAGACCATCCATACCTTCTTTCCCCAAAAGAAAATCCAGGAAGTGGTACGTGTAGGACACTCCCACTTTGGTCTCCACCTGAGGCCTTCGCAGTGTGGAGTAGATGTTGCCGGGGCTTTGCGTCTCTTCAGCTTTACGCAACTTCGGGAGCCTGCACCCCATATCTCTGCAGAGAGGAGACATGGAGATGAGGAGAGCAGATATTGCTGCGAAAAGACAGCATTGATAAGCGTTTCTAAATACGTACGTAGCGGTTCTAAATATAAAAATTACATTCACACTTTCTAGGAAGGGTGTCTGCAATTCGGTGCTCATGTGCAAGCTCCCGCTGTGGGGAAATAACGCGTTTCTCTCTCGCACCCTTCGCGCCCCCACACACACTGTGTAATGCAATAATGGTGAAATATGAAACTGTCACCCATTACCTGCTTGCCAGGCTGTGATACGGCAGTCTCCTAATCAAATGTGGCTGATTGGGAGCGACATGTTTGATCAGAACGAATTAAAGCAGAAATGAGAGTGATTTCCTGCCCTGTCAAGCGCGGCGACACGACACCAGACAGAGAGAAGAGAGCTAAGATGGCAAGCGTGTTTGCACCGCCGTCCAATTTATATGTTGATCCACAAGGTCGGCATTCCATCACAAAGATTTTCTCAAGACTGTGCGAGCCCAACAGGCAATTAAAATGACAATTTAGAGGGGTCAAAATTCCCTCTTCTCCTTCGTTCGGTTTACAGCGGGCAATACGGATCCAAAGCGCGGGGGTTAGATCGCATCGAAAACAGGATTGAGATGCTTTTCTAGACAAATAACATTGGATGGAAGGCAGAGGGGCCCAAACGGAGAAGATGACATCGATGACGAGTTGACAAAAATCGTCAAGCAAATCCGATGTGACAGGCTGGCCAACCTCCAACCATCAATTACACTTTATGAGAGTCGCATTGTGAGGTATCTGTGTGTGTGTGTGTGTGTGTGTGTGTGTGTGTGTGTGTGTGTGTGTGTGTGTGTGTGTGTGTGTGTGTGTGTGTCTGCTCCGAAGGCCGGCCCGCATCTCCGCTTGGCAAGTACGGAGAAAGCCAAAATGCACGGACATTAACTTGGCGAACGATTCTGACAGATGAACGCTTCCTGTGTATGCTAAAGCATCTTCTAAAGCTGGGTTAGTGGGGGTCGGGGGGGAGCGAATGAAGCGTTTTCATACATGATTTATCATGAAACATTTACTTCCTCACCTTGGTTTTGCAGCTCTGCACAAAATACACAAATTTAATGAGTGTATTTTGTGCATAGCACAGGGAGAAAAAAACAGTTGATGCAATGGTATAAAAAGTCATCACACCCTTGTTCAAATGCCTGTTTTTTGTCATATAAATACCAAGATGAATTTCACAACTCCCCGCCGTTATGTGGCCTATACTCGATATAATTCAAATGACTTTTTTTCAATTCTTTTTCAAGGCTGCACGTATTTGGGATGTGGCTGTGTTCAAAATAAATCAACCACATTCAGCAGACATCCGCGACCGTTTACTTACTCGGATTCCCCATCAATACATTTTCGATGGTCTTGTCGGCTTTTCCTGCTTTACAGCAGAAATCCGAAGCTTTTCTGCAAACACCGACTTGCGTTTGGAACTGTTCAGAGTTCCCTCCAAAGGAAAACAGACCCAAAGGACCACGCTCATGCTTCACCATAAAGTTCAATCATGGTTTCATTGGATCACAATAAAACCTCCCAAAAGACGTGTGGGAAAAGATGACAGGAATTGACAGTTTGAAATAGCAGTCAGTGTTAGCATAAAACCGTCAGGCATCTGCACAGAAGCAAAAAAAAAAAAAAAAAAGTTAGTAAAAGTCCCCTGGAAATTGAATTAAATGGTGACACATGACTTGAAATCTGATTGGCTAATTGTGCACACAGCCACATCGCAGTTCTGCGTGCGCACATGCAGCAACCACGTTTCAGTTAGGTGTAGGTCACATTAATGGTAGATTTTTTTGTTTTGTTTTTTTTGTCATGATTCCTCTTGCTCATTTCTTTTTTTGTACTACAAACATCTGGCACTTGATCAGGAGTGTTGGAACTCTCCCTCCAACATTTCAAAGTGGTCCTCACAAGGCGGCAGCGCGGGTTCTTTATCGGTTGGTTCGAGACAAATTTGTTCCAGCTCACTTCGGCGATCTGCACAGATGAATACATTTCACGACTGTTTTTTTTTTTTTTAAATGTTATTAGATCAATATTGATTGTGCATGCTGCTGCCAGCTGGTTTGCGTGGCGCAGCTGCATGCTATTACATTGCACTTTTCTATGGTATTGATGGTTTCTATAATTGTGATGTGGTAGTGGTGGTATTAGGAGGTGGTTAAGTCCCTCCTACGTCCCATGTATGGAATATATGAGCAATTGATTGTTCTGCTATCGTATGTCACAACGGCAACATTAGGGGGGGGCTTTTACCATCCAATTCAAACAAAGAGCAATTAATCAACTAATGGATTGTTAATTTTACCCATTAGTGATCGGTGCAATTTAGTCAAATGCACATTCCTAAATCGATGGGATACCTGAGTGGACGAAAAACGGATTGTGTGGCTTTTCGCCAGCGAGCTCACACGCTCCAAAATGTCATTGAAAAATAAATCGTCGATTCGATGCATACCGGCTTTACATGTACTTCTTGAGTCAAAATATGCTTGCTGGCAATCACAAGAAAGAATGGCCGGTGGCACACGACAGTCGCTGAAGTGTGACCTGAGGCTGCCATGACAATGATCAAACGAAAGCTAGAGGAACCAACAACTAGCGAAGCAACTAGTTCAAGGTCAATTGAGTGTTTTTAGTTGCCATCGCTTTTTTTACATTTCCACCTTCCTTATCTCACTCTCAATACTAACTGGCTCCAATGCCTCCAGTTCCTTCTGGTTGCCCTTGCTACTTTGTCACATTCGACACACTTTGCTCCTCTCGCTCGCTCTCCATCCGCCCACCCTTCTGTCCACTCGATCCATCTGTCTGATAGCTCATAAGAGTTCCCGCCGCGGACGTGATCCCCCCTGCTGAGCCCATTTAGAGGCGCAATCTACAAGTATGTTTCCAGCCAGCCGCCATGACGGCTGAGTTATGACTTAGTTTAGGGCGCGCGCCAAACATTTTAACTCTTCAGCCATAGCACACCGCGTAGGCATAGAGTCGGCAACATGGTTGAAGGATGACAGACAGGACATTGGACTCAACAGCAAATGAAGAAGTCAGGTTGTACTTGTGGAGACACTCAAAGAAGTTCAAGACAAAAAGGCTTCTCAAACACACAGGAGCTTCTACTTTCTCTACATGTTGACTTCAAACAGAATCTCACCGCTCTCACACAAGCAGCAAAAAGGGCCTTGACAGCAAAAAAACAGCCATTAAACATGAAGCGACGCAGGCAGATAAAAAGCCAAGCGAAAGGGGAGAACGTGAAAGGAGGAAGGCAGACGGGAGTACAGCGGAGGGCTTCTCATTTGAGAATCTCTTGTAACAGAGTCTTGGAAATGACAGGATTTGCGTGAGAGCGTAATCCGTCTGCTCTACTATACCTCTTGAACACATACGCACAGAAATGCACTCAAGGAGGGGCGAAGGAGGGCGGGGGGGGGACTTGTTTGGAGTGGTGCAATAGACATCTACCGGGGAGGGAGCGTCTGACCGAACTTGAGAACGTTCATAGTAATCAGCTCGAGCCACTGGGGAGGCTCCAGTCATCCAGTGAACCTGATCGCTCGTGTTCAAATGCTAATTTATGGACATTTTCATTTCAATTGCCAAGCAGCCGACATTATTTTGAGGTCGCACTATGGCACTTTGGAGACTTTTAAACTCGGACAACTTCTGAGCTCCAAATCAGACCTAATTCTGAAGGAATGTTTTTAAGATGGGGGGTGTGGTGGTTAGCGGCAAAGAGGAGCAGCACTTAATTTTGCACGCTCTCTGTTGTGAATTGGGATTTTTGTGTTCTGCATCCAGCCCTGCTCTCAGTTGTTACATTGTAGTTTTGAAGATAAAGACTCTCTGTTTTTCCACCTCCACGTCCTGTCTGCTTCCGGGTCCAAATTATGTCCCTCATGTGACAGAAAGAGCATGAAAACTAAAGTATGTGCTGTATTGACGATAACTAACCGCTCAAGTTTTGAGGGACATTGTTGAAAAGGTATTGAAGTCCAAAAATTAAAATACAATGTTAACTTGATTTAAGAGTATTATTTGTTCCCTCATCAATCTTGGAACGCTCTCTCTCTCTCTCATTTAAGGAATATGCCCATATGAGTGAGGTCAGGAGGTCCTCAAGAGTGTTGTTATTTTGTCTTAGTGTTCAATTATTTGGTTCAACAAACTAATTCCCGAAATACATTGTCTCTGCAAAATGTAAAATTTGTATATAATGAAGGGGTGAATGTTTGCATAAGGGATACGAGTCTTCGTAATGTGAATATGCTTTACAAGGTGTGTCAAAAAGGTTCCAGGAGGGGTATCACAAAAGATACATTTCAAAACCAAACTATGAGCTTTGCCCTGAATTGTGGGCCAGCATGTTTGCTTCGTTCACACCTGCTCACAATGTCCTCAGCATCTGACAGTTCCTGGCCAAGACCTTAGCTGTACTGGAGCAAACCTCCCTACTCGAGCAACTTGGCTACATGTGATTTTCTTCCTCTTTCCCAAGCTTTTAAAAGGGTCATTAAAGGGGCGCGTTTTGAAGACTCAGTCGACATCATGATTGCCGTGATGATGGAGTTGCAAAGGATCCCCAAAGAATCTTTCAAGGATTACATGAAGGCGTGGCAGAGGAGGCTGAAAGAATGCGATAGACCCCAGAGGGATTATTTTGAAGGGGAAAATTTGTAGTTTGGATTTGAAATATCTTTTGAGACAACAGTTTCGAATCAGTGTATCTCGGTAATCAAACTCGTTTTCGAGAAATGTCTGTGAATTATGACAGTCACAGCAAGCAGCTTTGACTCCAAAAGACCTTACTTTTCTTTTGTCTAATCTCACGTTGATCTTTTGTTTGTCCCCAGGGCTGTAGATAACAATTAAAAACACAAGCGCTGTCCAAGAGTTTCTGATAAGAGTCTGTTTTTTTTTAAAATAGAGCAACAAGTTCCAAATGAAACAAGATGTTAGTTTCAACTGTTTGCGGTGTTCCAATTTAGTAGACAGCATCTTTAATGAGGCCAATTTATCTAAAACAACCACCACGACTGCCCTTTAGCTCCCAATATAAAAACAGCAACAAAAAAAAAGGACAAATGTTCGAAATGACACCATTTTGTTTGAAAGAGACGCACACCTGACGAGTCCATTTACGTCGGTTAACACAATTCAGCTAGCTTCCGAACACTTTCCCTCGACTAAAATGTCACGCAACTATAATTTGCTTGTTTAAAAACTGTTTGAAGTGCCAGCTAAAGAGGAGTCAAAACTCACCGAGCTTGGTGCTCGTAGGTGGGAGCGACAAACTGTCGGCGTGAGAGCCTCCTTCGGCGCGGCAGGAGTGGATGAGACACGCGTGGATCCGGTGGACTCGAAGGCTTCCGAGATGTGGCTTGGAGCTCTTTACTGGGCACGGCGCTCTTCTCCCAGCTCACTCGGAAGACTTTTTCCGACTAAAACGCCCCGAGTTTTCTTGACGTCCGCGCCCCCATCAGGTAACACTTATACTGCTCCATCCAGCCAATACGCCCACGTTTCGGTGCCATTAAACCCGTAAGCCTCAACACACCCCTCAACCCGCCCCCCCCCTCAACACAAATTCATATTTAATAAGCAGCAATCCCGATCTATTCATAATTTAAAGCTGTCTGAGTGGGGGCCGAGGGGTGGTCGCAGCACCCTGGGGAGCCCCAGTCACACCAGTAGACACTGACAATAACCCACTAAAAGAAAGATGATGGAAGCTGTTGCTAGGGAAGAAAAGCCAGAATGGAAACCAAGCCACAAACTCCCAAAGACACCACAGTTGAACTTCGATGTATTTTGTTTTGTTTATCCAAACACATAGAACACAAGTATGAACAGTGCATGACCGGGCTCGCTGAATAAAACAGTCAGTTGTTTTTGGGGAACGGCGAACATAGCCTTAAACAAACCAACAACATGACAACAATCCAGACAAACGCAGTAGAAAATGAAAATCCACCAAATGTGCAACGCAAATGAGGCAGTGCTGGTATTCAAACTTACCAAGTGTTAAAAAAAAAAATCAAATAAACAAAAGGAAAGAAAATGACTTGCATCTGGATGAATCCTGAAGCATAAAGAATCTGGTGAGTCATGGATGAGTTCACTTTTCTTCCCCCCCAAAAAGCACTTGAAATGGTGTCCCTTGTCAAAGCAGTTTTAGGCCCTTTTTAAACTTGAAACAAGTTGGCGAGTGATTGACACTGCCATATGATGGGCAGAGTGATGTGGTTTAGATGATGTACAAAATGTGACTCTGTTGCCTTACCAGTGCTCACCTTTACCCGAGGTTCAAATGAAATTCCAGAACAAAGTAAACGTGGGCATAACTAAAAAAATGGCCCAAGTGTTTTTTTTTTTTAACTAGATTGCGATCAAGCCATTGTAACCATATTTACATCTTTTTTGTTTTTGCTGGACAGCATCAATGCCTTAAAAAAAAAATCCAATCCAACGGTAAAAAAGAAATAAAAAACACAACATAAAATGTATAAAAAGGTACAAAAGGTGATCTTAAAATACGTTTTTTTCCTCTTTGGTTGGGCAATTACCAAACAAGCTGGTACGATGAGAGCGCTATGCTCTTTCTCCTAACCCTTTTCTGGGAGATTGAGGTTAGTGGTCTCGACCAGTTTCGGGTCAAAGTGACTGTGATGGGACGAGAAAATAAATTAAAATTGGCCTCTGAAGCCAAGCAAATGGAGGAAAAAAAATGTCTAAGAGGGGCGGGCGAAGTTGGAAGTGTCGTTTTATCCGTATTCTGATGTCCTGTAGCCTTTGGAGAGAGGGCATAAAAACACTTATCTTATTCTCACCGACATATGACCAGCATGTGAAAGTCTCAAGTGCTGCACTACCTGGTGTGGTGTCAGAAGCTGCTGGAACTACAGCACAGTGAGCGTGGTTTGAACGCCGCACTCCACAAAAGTCTGTAAAACAGAACACAATTTAATCTGAGTTATGTCCTCGTCTGGAGAGTCTCTCTAATATTTGAACACAGCACCCAGCAGCAAGAATTGACTACCATCTAGTGGTATCATTTCACAAATTCTATTGGAAGAAACAATTTGTCCAGTATAATATATGACTACTAGTTTGAGCATCTAATTTTTATCCCTGAAGGTACGCATAATAAAACAGCAATTACTTATTTTTTTTTAATTATTCAGCCATACTTGCCGCCATCATGCAAATGTATTTTTAAACAAAGTGGTGCATGTGACTGGCGTGACATTAGTCTGGAGAAAATTGATCCCTGCAAAGCTCCCAGGCAGATTCTGCATTTCCTTTTTTTTCTTTTTTTTGGGGGGGTAATTGAATGATCCAAATAATTTTTCAAGACTTACATCCAAAACATCATTCTCACTGTGTGGACTCACCTGAGTGCTAGTCTGTGTTCTTTGGCCAGTTGTCCAGAAGGTCGGAGAGTACTGTGTGTGCAGGGGAAAGGGGCCAAATGTCAGACAGGACAATACAGTAAAAGAAGACAATGAATAAGTACAGACAGCGAGTAGAGAAGGGAAAAAAAAAAAGTGTACCTCGTAGGTGTACGCAGTCTGAGCATTCATTCCCATCTGTGGCTGCGTATGGTTTCCAAATTCGGATTGTGGTTGGGTGTATGACTGCAAACATGAGCGGATGATCCAATAGGTAATCCTTTAACCTTAATTCAGATGAGAATATGTTGTCCTTGTCCAATAGTTTCTGTGCATCTCAGACCAGTTCACTGTAGATGGTCCCAGTTGCTGTGAGTGGTTTACGACGGCAACTGACGATGAACATGCCGATCGTTGTTTTCCCAAGTAAATGCGAATGTTTTTGCAAATGTGTTATTTTGATTGCAAGGATCTGCAGAATTTTAGGATGAACAAAGTCGCGAAATGATTTATTGATTTTCAAAATGGTACCGATTTGTCAATTATTTGGTGAACCGTAGCTCATTCAGTCCCACTTTCAGATGCTTCTTCACCCTATGACATTAAAAAAAATTTTAAAAATACATCAACATGTACCTGGGATTGAATGCTTGGAAACATGAAAAAAACGCTTTTGGCAGAGAACGAGTTAAAATGGGTTCACTTAACTCCAACACAATAGTGATCCAGATTCACTTAGTGTGAAGGATGACTTCAAGATGTCCTTTACAGTGCACTCAGTTATTTGCTTGTGTCTTAAATTAATCAAAATTTAGTTAAAACGTTCAACAAGTCCTAGTTATGCTGCATGTGGTCTCCTGTCCATTGATGCATGTTTAGTTTAATGCTCTGCACCACCTTAGTGACAAAAAAAAAAAAATCACCCAAAGGTGTTCTGACGTGATTACACAAAAACGACGTGTCACCAAAATATCCAAAAGGCAGTGAAGGAGGTAAAGACGGACGATTTAAATTCAATGCCTGTCCGCTGTTTCAGTGTGTGCTTGTCTTACTGGAAAATAGTTGGCACCACTATCAATCAAGGTTGACGATCGGGTCATGGTCCCTCCATTGGATGAGCAGCAAGGGCAGAAGACAACCTGGGAGGGGTTCCAAGGCTCAAGTGCTATCACTCGCGCTGGTCTTATCCCTGGGGGTGGCGAGCAGGGGTCTTTATGGCATAGAAGGGGTAAGGAAACATGTAGAATGAGATGGCCCGCTCCGAATACATACGACAAGTCCTCTGCTTGACGATTGCGGGGCCCAGCTTGAGTGCCTTTCCTTTCCAAAAGATACGTTGCTGTAGAAACAAAGTCTGTTGTAAGCAACAACACGTAAAAGAGTTTTGTCTTTTTTTTTTTTTTTTCTTCAACATCATGTGTACTTACCTCAAGAATTGGCTGGACGTCGACATTTTCAGTAAAGTACACAAACCCATAGCTGGAAGAAGAAACCAATTGTTACACTGACAAATTCAAGACTGGGATCCACACCTTTTCTGATGTGTATCTTTACACACATTCAAACCATGAATAAGCATCTCCCTTATCGTATTTATTTTTTCAATTTTTAAGTAGATTTACTGGGCTAATCTGGGAATTCAAGATATTTTAATCTATATGAAGAAATGTTCGTTGGTTCGGTGCAATTGCTTGAATACTCAACTTTAAATATAACTGGGGGGGGGGCAGCAACTGAAATAGTTGCAAAGTAAATTATGAATACTGAATAGCAATTACAAAATAATACAAAAATACCGGCTGTTCTTGCTGTGTGTGCATTGGCCTGTGGAGGGCAGTGTGGTGCCATGCTGTCACGGAGTACACATAATGAGATAAGAGGAGACAAAGAAAGTAGCAATTGAGCTCTATTAATAATCATGATTAAATGTCATTAGTTGCCAAGCCTCACCACATATGCAACCTCAAGTCAGATTCTTTACTTTTAGGAGTAGCGGGTTGAGCTAAAACATGGCTATGATACATTAGAAATCAAAAGTACACAGATAGCAGAAAACATACCCTTTGCTGAATCCTCCGCGATATGTGATGATTTTCACATCCTTGACCGGACCGTATGTCGAAAAGAAGTCCTTCATTTCAGTTAGACTCGTCTAAAGGTTGGGAGGGAATTCCAAGTCGGAAGACAAAAAATTAGTCGAGCCCCTTTTAGCACATGGTGTACTGTACAAGCCCGGGTGTCATGTGAATCAACCACTTCTTGACAGTTACTGCTATTTTTAAAGCAAGCCTAACCCCTGCATCGATCCCGCCGACAAAGATGGCATTGGGAGTCACTCGTCCCTCTGGCAGAATGTATCCGTTGGACACCTGGGAAAAAAATGACGGGTGGCTGCTGCCCTGTTGATTCTGGATGTTCTACCAAGAAAACATTTACAGCAGTTACGAACAAAATGATATCAGAATTTATGTAGTCAAGACATATTTCTTGTTCGTTTCTAAAACTAAATTAGGTTTGTTTATTTACTTTTAATTGTACATTAAAATACATTTTAAGTGCCTCATTTAAGTAGCAATGTGACAAGTAGCTGCCATCTTGGCAGAATGTTCCCCTCTACATTTGGTCACGACCTGAGTGAGTTTTGAGCCTTTTCCGTTACTGGTCCCGCTCATTGGAATGACTTTCCACCGAACGTTCAGCAAGCCCCCTCGCTGCCCATTCTTTAAAAGTTGTCTTAAAGCTAATTTTTATTCTTTGGCTTTTGACTGAGCATGAGACTTGATTTTTAGTTTTCCCATTTTTGTGCTTTCTACTGTCTTTATTATTTTTATTGTATGAATTATTTTTGCTCCATGTACAGCACTTTGTAGAACAGTGGTGGTTGTTTTAAAGTGCTCTATAAATAGTTGAGTATACAGAATGGAATGATACCTCTACCTCAGTTTTTTTCAGATTCAGTCTAACCACATTAGTATTTTCCTAACGATACTAATCTGTCGTTCTACATTATTACCTAACCCTGTGACCACAAAAAGCACCTGAAGTTTTATTGATCAGCTCAAAACTCAAATAACAATTATATTCGGCCTTGGTTCTTGAAATTGCTGGTCTTTGATAGTGGTCATCAACAATATATGCTTTTTGATCTTTGATCATGATGAATATGATGACAAAGGCGTTTTTGTAGGTGCTAAGATGTGCACGCGGGCGTTATTAAATGGAATGACAAGTTTCAACACACAAACGCAAGAAAACGGAGATTCTCAGTTTCTATTTCAAGTACAATACGTGACGACTGAAATTTTCACTCCCGATAATACGACACAAGGAGAAAATGGCGGCGGAAAGACGTGGAAAACAAGGTGACAAAAGTGCGCTCAAAAACTTTTAGAAAGTTCGACGAAAACATTGCAAGCGCGAGCGAATGTTCATAGTACAAGTATGTTGAGCAATAAAATTTATTCATGGAGGGTTTTTTTTTACCCCCGCAAGGCTAGCTTGGCCGACAAGTTAAATTGATACCAATTAGCAAAAGTCACTCGTCGGGATACGGTTCATCAAGTGAAGAAAAATCAACTTCGCAATTGCATTAATATATTGATATCCCTACAATCCACACAAGTAAAACGTGTTACTGGAAAACTTACCATATTTAAAACGCAAAACAATTACCACGCATTTAAGGCCTGAACGCGAAGAGCTAGAAGTGCGCTTTTTTTTCCCTGCCCAACTACAGTAAACTCACGAAAACGCCCATCAAAATCACGTGACCAAACTAACAGCCAATTAGACGCGTGAAAGGCATCCGCCATTGAAACAAACGTCCCACATGCTCTCAGACAAAAAAAAAATCTATACATGTATCTTTATCTATATATCTATATCTATATATCTATATAGATATAGATATATATCTATATATATATTTTTTTCCAAGCTATTGATTGTTCTGGGACAAACAATGTCATATCCTTGCTTTTCAGTTTTAAACACTAGATGGCAGTAAGCTACTTTTTCCAGTGATAGATGATATTGCTTGGGGAAGACATTCACTCCAGAGCACAATCAAGTTGTTTTCTGCACCGACAATATATTCACTATCGTTGGCATCGAGTGAAGCATTTTTTTAATGCAGTCGTACAGTTTATAATGAACACCTGTAACGTATACCATCCACAGTCCGAACGGCTTTTACGTCAGTTGCGTAGGTGTTAATGTACCATATGCTTCTGGATCATACTCAAAAAATTCTTGAAAAGGTTAACGACGTTTTGAAAGTGTTAAGAGTTGGTGCCGCTCGGACAACGCTGTTCTTGAGCAGTCATCCTTTGTTGTTCAGGCCATATGTATTTTCCCATCTCATGAAAGCAATTGCATCAGCTCCCTCGCATTATCGACAAAAATATTGTAAACAAAGGCAAAAAAACAAGGCTAATATTACATTTTGCCGGTGATTACTTTGATTGCAGGTGCTCATAAATTTCAGGTCGTGTTTGTGCATTAACTGCAATATTATTTTTTGGTGTTCACTCGTCTGGCATGCACACGTGATGCATGATGAAATGCGACAGTGACAGTGTGACAGAGAGGATCAAAATAGGAGGATTGTTTTTGTTTTTTTTTTGTGACGGCAGACTCTTTGGTACAACTCGCATTAGATCTCATTAGATTCTGCAGGACTACTTTATTTTGTGGTTGTTGTGTACAAAGTTTGACTCAGGGAGCAAAATATGGGAACTTTCATTTCATTTTGTCTGGCATTTACCCTTGAGGGGCTGCCTTGGCATCTATCCACAAGCAATGTATCATAATAATTTCCCCTGAATGTTCCAGTAGAAGCTGTGGCCACGATTACGCCTGGAAAAACCCAAGCACACTGCATGAAATTTTGCAGGCAAGCCACTCAGCAGGCCTCTGCCAACGCATTGGGCTGATATTTAGACTTTTTGTTGATGTCAGGCATTCAAAACGGGTTTTTAAATATTCAAAGTGCTGTTTTAACAGCATGAAAACAAGTGCCTGAAGCTTCTTTTGAATAAACAAGTGGTCGCTTACAACTTCAGAGGAGCTGACATTTTAACATTTCCATAAAACAAACGCTTAATTTCTGTCTTTTGATGCACTTAATGAGATGTATATCCTGACAGACTGAAGCTTGTGTGACACTTTAAGGAGCATATCGATAGTTGTTGGCAGCTGATGTATTTATTTTAATATTGCCATTGGTCCGGTGGTACCGTCCACATTCCTAAAACATGCGTTAGGTTAATTAAAGACTATAATTGTCAATACAGCGTGAACGTGAGTGTGAATGGTTGTTTGTCTGTATGTTCCCTGCAATTGGCTGGTGACCAGTCCAGGGTGTACCCCAACTCTGACCCAAAGTCAGCTGGGCTGCAGCCCTAAGAGAGGAAAATTGCTGCAGTAAAAGGATGGATGAATGTTGTGATCCATTCACGGGTGAGCTGGAGCCCATCCCAGCAGCCTCCAGGCAAGAGGCGTGGTATGCCCTGGACTGGTCGCCACTCAATCATAGGGCACATAGACAAACAACCACTTATTCGCATTCACACCTATTGTTGTTATTATTATTATCAGGCTAAGGCTGTAAATAAGAAATCCATAATAATAATTTTAGTTAATTATTATTTTAGAAATAATCATCCAGTCATCCATTTTCTCTGCAGCTTATCTGGCTGAGGGTCGTGGGGTTCAAATATTAATTATTGGATAATGGATGAATTGATAAATGATCATAATAAAATTGATATTATTCAGTTATATATTAGTAATTTATTACTACTACGAGTAGTACTATTACTATTTCTGCTGCTACGACTACTTAGAGTAGTAGTAAAGTAGAAGTAGTAATAGTTGTGAGATGTATTATCGATATTCATATTCGTATTATTTTAGAAATAAGCATCAATCCATTTTTTCTATTTCTTATCAGGGTCATAGGGTTTGAATAACAACAATCCTCATCATTATTAAATTAATATTATTGTGAATTAATATATCGATATGTATGACTTAGAGTACAAGTACTACAAGTTGTACAGTACGACGACTACTACAACTACTACTCCTATTTCTATTTAGAATAATAACGATTATTGGGGAGAGAGGTGAAGGCGAACAGTCATGGAATAAATAAAATAAAGAAATGAATGCATAAAGAAGGAAAAACTGAAACCAGATTCTTCACAAAATCGTGTAACAGCGTGATGAAGATTTAACTATTTACTTCCTATCCAGCAGTGTGGGTTAAGTATGAGGAGGATTGACAGCTCATGTCTTGGAGGTGTGTCGATTCTTACTGTAATTCATTTCCTGCCCCCCACCTCTTTTTTTTTTTCAAGGTTGTGCCATGCCCACTCCGCGTGCATGAAACGAGGAGGGAGGCGTGAAAGGAGGCAGGGTGAGAGAGAGAAAGAGAGAGAGAGAGAGAGAAGTTTCGCAGTTGCAATCCAAAAGACCCAGCGAGGAGGCTCCACAGGGGGTCCAGCTGTGAGTCGCCAACGTGGGAGGGCTTGGATTCGGCTACTAAATCGATACCTCGACGCAGCAGTCTCATTAAGGTAAGTTAAGGCCGGGGTTTTCTGCAAAACAGCTAAGCTCTTCGTTTCGTAGTCACGCTACAAGTTGAAAGTAAAAAGAAAACATCTTTTTTGTGAAATTAAAAAAATGAAAAGTTACTAGGCACATTCGTATGCCAATGGCACGCAAACTGACCCCTTTACAAAACTACGTCTACCAACATTGGAGCGTAATTTTACGTTCGAAAAATCCCGTGGTACGCTACTAAACAAAAACGTCACGCAAAGTCGGTGATTATGAAACTTTTTACATCCAGAGGAAAAGCATCACTGTTGTGCCCGTCACTGTCACTGGCATAGATGAACAAAGATACATTATTTGTACATATTTTTCAAAGACTACTGTCATAAGCTAAAATGGATCAATTTCCACAGCACCACATGATGATCACTGAAATAAACTTAACATCCCCACTGGCCACGGGTCATAATATTAGAAACACATCTCCGTATGACTAAACCGCTGTACAGTACGTCCATGTCTATCAAAACTGAGCATTATTGTCTTCATCTCACATTCAACTCACAAGGTCACGTAGGTGTACCGAACGTAGTTGCCGCCGTGTATCTGCTTCTGTTTTCTTTTTTGTTCCTCTTCATATTACTCGGCCACACCAGCTGCAGAGGAAGTTGACGATGATGTCATATGTATGTTGTGTACATTAAGAGGCACTATGTGTTCCATTCGCCTTTGAGCCAGCATGTTGTGTTCTGCCCGCAAGATAACACCAGGCGATGTCACTCAGTGCTAGCCTGACAAGAGAGGAAGGAGGTGAAGGAACCGAACCACCTGCTGCAGTGTGAAGTCATCACTCTGCCTCGTGGCTAGACCGACTCCCACACTCCTTTTTCCCACTGTTGGTCTCATAGTCCACTTTTCTGACATCCAAATGTCCTTTAAAGAGTCGTTGTTGGGTTTGGCCCCAACAACATTTTAATCCTGGCGCTGGTTATAGCACATCGAATCGATATCTCTTCTCCCCCGACGTCATCCTCACCTACTTTTGGTTCTGTATTGATCGCCCCTTGCTGATGGTCTCCAAAGCGACCGCCTCCTCTAAGACATCATTATTGACTTCATCAACAATGATGTTTATTTTCAGCAGCTGTGACGTGTTTGTTTTGAAGTGAGCACCTGTCATTAAAAAAAAAAAAAAAATAATGCTCGTTTCTGTTTTGGAAAATACAGTAAATAACTAGAATTTTAAATAATTAAAAAATAATCACTTTTTAAAAAAAAAACAATTTGGACAAAAATGGTGCAATGGAATTAGCCTCTCATTTGTGCTTCAACTTTAAAAAGATGACCGATAATTGACAAAATATTAGACGAGTTGAGCAAAAAATGTTCACCAAGGTAGAAAATACCTGAACTGAATCGCTGCACACTTGCACATTTTCATCTGCATGATCATTGCATTTTTCTCAAGGAAATAATCTCAAACGAGTACTGCATTTAGGGGGGACAAAAAATCTATATCTTTTTTTCTTTTCTTTTTTTCCTCCTGTAGTTTAGCAATAATTAATTACGTGACCGTCAAGTATTCGGGCGATTGTTAACGATCACACTTTGAAGCAATTGAGGCAAAACTGAGTATATATTTGGCAAAAACAAGCAAAGGTGCTGTTGATTTACTCTTAACAAGTTTGTTTTCCCAAAGAAGCACAACTGCATGTCATGCCCTGGGAAGCTCTGGCAGAACTCCAAACAGCAAGTAATTATTTTGCAGGCTACACCGGCATCAGGCAGTTTGGTCTCCCATTCAAAATAAAATGGATGCGATTGAAGTAATGTTCCTTTCAGGGAGCAGCAGATTTCAAGCGACATAATTCTCGTCTCAACTCGAACTAATTTTACAGTCGGCATCACCACAGCAACCGGTAAAGACCTGGCAGGGAATCCAGCTGATCGTGGCCTTTCCTGTCAGTTGAACCTTTATTGTGACTCACGTTCTAGTCGTAGCGCATTGTTTCAGCATCTATTGCGGCATTGCATCCCGGTGATGTCATCAGTCTATGCTGTGTATTAAGCGCAATACACTCAAGCAAAAGTATGATAAAAAAAATTAAACAAAAACAACATGATAGCTATGTTAGGGGTATTTTTAGTTTCTCATCAAATGTGGTTCATAGTGGAGGTCTGCAGCCTTGCTTCTTGTTTCTGAGTAGCAA